GGAATCACTGAGCTGGAGCATTATAGTCGAAGTCTAATTATATCTGTTTTATACTGTTTCAGTTTCTTATTTCAGACTGCTTTAATAACTGCTTTAAAAGCAATGATGAGAGAACACTTTTCATTGAGCAAAACAGCACATGAAATATTAAAAATCATCAACTATATGTCTTTCGACTTCAAGCAAACATGCACAAACTTTAGAGGCTTATTAATTTCTAAACTTGCTCCCACTACAGCAGAAAACTTTCTTCAAAAAGGTTATTTGGCAAACATTTTAGAACGAAAACTGTCTGAAAGCCTCTTAAGAACACAGCATGTTTATTTGGATGAAGGCTTCTATCTGAGATGAGGTTGATTTCTAGTGTCCTACCCTTGAAATGATGCTTCAGTCAAAGCTTAGAGAATACCAATGCAGTCCATTATAGCCTGCGCCCTTTTACATTCTCCATTATTACAGTAGTTTTATGGAAATATCATTACTTTCTAATTAGAACAGGGAAATAAATCAGTGCGAGGCACTTAGTTTAAAATTATTTAAGGTTTCTCTGTAATGATCAATGTAGAGCCCAAAGGCTTAATTAAAACAAGCATTTAAATATACAGTATTCCCACATCCAATAAAACCTTCCAAAGCCTCAAAAATATCAAGGAAAAATTGGAAATCAGCACTCCCAATATACATGTATCTTGCATATAAACATATTTATTTAGCATAAGTGCTTGTCATTGCTTTTCTGCAAGTAGATCTATATGGTGTTGTTTAAGAAGTATAAAGATCTATAAAAGACTGGTAACCAGAAGGTTGTGGCCCTTGAGCAAGACACCTAAACCCCAATCACTCCCCAGGCGCCACAGCAAACTGGCTGCCACTTCACTGGGTGTGTGTTTAATACTCACTACTCCTATGAGTGTGTGTGTGTGTAATATCTTGGATGGGTTAAATACAGAGGACATATTAGGAGTATGGGTTACCATACTTGGCCTTCCCATCATGTCACTTTCACTGTATTCGCCTGTCGAATGAAGGCCAGAGCTGCACGAGGCACCCCTGAACCGCAGACCTGTGTTAAAGGGCTGTAATTGTCTTTTTACTGTGGCCAGTAAATCTTCGAGTGCCCTCATCGTGCCATCACAACATTCAGCCGACGGTTGTTGCCTAGCAACCAGCGTAGAGAGCAAACACTTCTTTGCAACAAAGTGCGTTTAGATGGATGGGCTGTTTTGTCTGAAAATTCACCATGTTCAGAAAATATCTGCATAATCATGGTGGAGGGTGTGTGTATAAAGGCCAATTCACACCGCACAGACAAACGCCAACAAACAAGTCTGTTGGATTTAGAAAAATTACTGTCATAAACACACTGCCCCAACAAACACTGATTTAACATGTTCAGTCAGTCGGGTGAAAACAAACCCTGACCCAAGCCACCAGACACCGACAGAGGTAACACACTGATCCAACAAAACCCAACAAACGTGTTTGTTTGCATTTGTCTGTTCAGTGTGAATTGGCCTTAAAAGAAATGTCTCGGAAATACTCATCCAAATTCTCATCCTTTAGTGTCATAAGCCCATTTCGCACGGGATTAGTATTATCTGGTGACCTGGAGTAATTTGTAATAATTGCGGAGTTTGTCCGTGATCTTAATCCCGTGCGAATTGGCCATGTCTGTAATTTGTAAAGTAAAAATTACCCCGCAAATTACCTACTATATTTCGCCGAACACCGGGGTCCTGTGATAATATTAGTCCTGGGCGAATCGGCATCTCTGTGATTTGGCCAAGGTTTTGTTTCATCTGTGTCTTTTTATCCATCTTTCGCAGAGAATAGAGGCTGAGTTGGAGTGTTTTGATAGTATTTTGGGTGCGGGGTCATTTCGCTAGTACAACTAGGCTATAAAATTTGCAGAAAGAGAAAGCTGAAAACCATCAGAAGCAAGAAAACAAAAAGAATGATTAGATGGAGATGAATGACATGTTTAGCAGCATACGGCAAGGACAATTCTTCTGTTTATTATATACAGCTAGACATAATAACGACAAGACATTTCAAAGCTATAGCCTAATGATATCATATCTGGGAGATAAGTCAGTAAATTCGAGTAAAATCACAGGCTTCGGTTATCCCGTGTGAATGCGCCACACGAAATTCAGATGTGGGTGGGTAATTTCAAATTCACACGTGGTCCCCAGGTAATACTAATCCCGTGCGAATAGGGCTATATAGGTGACGCTATATGACAAAACGGCGAAATACTACGCACATGGCACCCTTTATCGTTAATATAACACGAGAACCCAAGGCGCCATAAATCCTTTAGCGTGAATATGAGACTACCTTACCCTACCCCACACCTAAACCTCCCCATCACATCGCATGTTATATTAACGAAAATGGGTGCCATGTGCGTAGTATTTCGCCGTTTTGTCATATAGCGTCACCTATATGAAGCTAAAAGATGAGAATGCGTTGGAGATAGATACCAACCAAAATCAATAATTACATTCACATTTTTGCAAGCCAACCCTGCAAAATCTTGCATATGGTGGTTTCTAGCTGATCCAAACGAATTATTTATAGTCAATAGTTGGTCCAAGCTGGTCCAGATTAGTTGACTACCAGCTGGGTCGAAGTCATACCGGTAGATAAGCCCATGACACACCAAACCGACATCAAAGAACTATTGCAGACGAAAGCTGACTTTGTTGACGTCTCAGGTCGCCTGCGTTTGCGGCCAAAAAGTTGCACTTGAACACACCACAAAGACAACAGCCAATGGCCAACTAGCACAGGCATTGTGTGCCTGCAGAGTAGAGATGTATAAAGTATTAGAAACCCAGACTTGAGTAAAAGTACAAGTGCTCTATCAAAAAAGTGACTTGAGTAGAAGTTGAAGTGCTCTTTAAGCACCACACATAAGTAGAAGTACTAAAGTATTCAACATTATTTGTACTTAAGTATTGCAAGTAGTTGATTTTAAAATTCACTACTTAAGTACTAAAAGTAAAAGTACAAGTATTGTGTCATGTAATTATTAAAGAAAGCAGTCAAAAGTTTGAATTAGCAATCAAATAAGGCGCTTTGACGGGATACAAATTTGCTTTGGCGGCCGCCAAAAAATGTAATTGCAGGACAACCCCTGCATTAGTTGTCAATGTGTGTGTCAATCAATACCATTACCCTATAAAACTGGCGTGTGATTTAGGCAGCATGAAAGCCAACTTGCAACGAATGATTCGTAAAATTTTTATAATTGCAACGAGTAACTAGCTGAACATTAAAAAAATATCGAAGTAAAAGTATTATATTCATCGGCGCCGGAAAAACCAGCAATGCAAGTTGCAAGTTTGAGAGCGGCGCCCCTGACAAATCTCACGAGAATCACAAAATGCTTTACGGCAACGACGTCACATACATCAACAACAACATATCCAAGAAAACTCGGTCAGACTCAGAAATGTCCAGAAAAAGGAAAAGAGAATCGGACCGTGCTAGAAACCGTATAAAACCGTAACTCGTTTATTGTCGTAAATAACCGAATTATGGTTATTTACGACATTGCAAGTACACCACAGCGGCTCTAGGGGTCGCTGTTTCACAAAAACATCAGAGCTGCCTAGTGTGCCTTTAATAATTCCTTATCATGAGCAAAATAAGCAAGCTGACATTTAGTACAATCTATATCTTTTATTTCGAATACATACAGATGTCATTTCTGTCTTTTAGTTAGTCAAGAGATTTAAAGCACTGTTTTTGAAGAGTGTGCTTGTGAGTATGTGCTCTCGAACGCAAGAATGAGCCAATGATTGAATCTGGAAGTTAAGCAAAATAACTGAGAAAAAAAAGAGAATTAGCCCTCAAATACTGTATTAGCCCTCATCTACTGTAATTCAATCTCAAACAGATTCATTAAAAGAATTATTACTCCACCACCTGCGTAACATCATGAACCAATGTGGTTGAACGACAAATTTGCGACAATGTGGTTTCGTGAAACAGTAATGACTAGCTAGTTGATTTCTTTAAAGATACTATAGTTAAGCAGAGAGGGACGTTGTTGTATGGGAAACGCACACCAGAAAGATTTCTCTCATTTACTGCCCAATAACGATTCAAAATTCTCAATTGGACAAAAAGCCACCAAAAGGGTGCCTATTGTGCAGAACTGTAGATCACATTTACATTTATTCATTTAGCTGACGCTTTTATCCAAAGCGACTTACAATTGCTATATATATCAGAGGTCGCACGCCTCTGGAGCAACTAGGGGTTAAGTGTCTTGCTCAGGGACACATTGGTGTCTCACAGTGGATTCGAACCCGGGTCTCTCACACCAAAGGCATGTGCCTCATCCACTGCGTCATCACCACCCCACTGGCCTAACTTTGGCTTGATAGGTTGGTTTGAACTGGCAGACCACCTTGGACCAGAAACCATATTGCAGAAACCAGCGTAACCTGTTATTTTCCCCCGAAGGGATCTGGATTGCAAATAGCGTTTGTATAAACTTGTATAAACTATGAAACATGAATCTTTGCATTTCTAATATGAAACAGCACCCAAATTCAGCTTAAAGTGCCATATCATGGCATATCAAATTGTATCATTCCTGAACACAACAGAATTCAGATGATACGCCCAAAGCAGTAAGCCGAGCTCCAGAGTGAATCACATGACATTAGAGAGGGAGGTGAGAGAAGGAAGGTCTCTGCTCCTTTCTGATGTTCTCTGCTGTTGTGTGTGTATCCGAAGGGAAAAGTCAAGCCATTCTTTAAAGTGTGGGAAAGAGATATGTTGGGGTTTTACAAGTCTTGCATAGATTTTGGTAAGCTCTTGCTATTTCTGGCCTACCTCTGATAGTCTATGGGGGTCCCGTCTCAAGCTCGGATTAGGGTTTAACTGACTAGGATCAGTCATGTAATGCCACTCAGCATGGTTCCTCCAAGGGTTGGCGTTTAAGAGCTGATCAGAGGTCAGATAGTAAGCCAGACACTAACCTGCAGCCATCTGCATGTATCCTGCCAATGTGCAGATCCTCCTCTCCCAGGCTCCACCGGGCAGGAAGATGGTGATGATGGCCAGCAGAGAGCTGACCGCCAGCAGAGCACATCCACCTGAACACAGCACTGCACTCGTCTGGAACACACACAATGCACAACACTTAGATGCTGCTGCTTTTAGAGGGGTTTACACTTGATTTGATTCAGGTCCCAATTAATGAGTTGATTTCGCAGAGAACGGTTTTAAAGAGATACAAAAGGTAGAAAAGATGTCATTGATGCTGTACCCTTTCAAAAGGTACACATTTGTACCAAAGGTGTGCATATTAGTACTTTAAAGTTACTGTATTTGTACCAGAAGTGCGCTTTAGTACCTAAATGGAACAAACTGTATTATAACTTTTTCCTGAGAGTGACCTTCTTTCTTTTATGGACCACAAAAAGAGCTTTTTTCTAAAAAAATAAAAAAAAAAAAAAAAAAAGTCGAGCTGGCACTCGTCCATTTAATGGCAGTGAATAGCAACCAGCATCAAGCTTTTTTAAAACTTTTGTAGTCCAAGTTTTCTGGGGCTATATGATAGGGTTTGGTGAAAAACAAACCGAAATGTAATGTTTTATTTAACAAAAGTCTTGACCTTAACCATTAGTCTTCTCTGCGCTGCAGTTTATTCCGTCTCACCCAGAAAAAGCACTCAAGATTAACCAAAATGCGACATGAAATACAACCCATGTATCTTCTTCTCTGAGGTTAATATATCCGTTCTGTTCGTCACAACAAGAAGTTATTGCATTCACATCTGTCAATTGTCATTCTGACTGTCATCAGACAAACAGAATTCCGGTTCAGTGATATTTGACTCAGTGAAGAAAATACACAGATACTTTTTGGGGATTTCTTGTGAACAGACTATTCTCTGCTATATGGATTAGGGTGAGCTGAACAGGAAAAAAAAAAAAAAATCATTTTGTGGCCCATAAAAGAAAGAAGGGCATATGGCATTAGAACAACACCACTGTAAAAAAAATATATATATATTGTTGGTTTAACTTAAAAAAGTAAGTAACCAGGTTTCCTTAAAATTTTAAGTTGATTGAACTGGAAAAAGTGAGTTAATACAATGAAGGAGATTGATTTAATCATCAGAAACTCAAAAAAATAAGTTCTCTCAACTAAATACATTATTTAATGAAAAAAATGCGATAACAAATCTTAACAAAAATTTTTACAGTGGGGTGAGTACATTATTACTTAATTTTCCTTTCAGGATGAACTAACCCTTTAATAGTTCATGATAAAACCATAGATTTTAAATCCAAACTGCACTAAACATTGGACAAAAACATAAAATGGCTAACCGTGTAAAGCCTCACATATGAAATAATAAAATAATTTTATTTCATAATAATAGTCCGTTTTTATTGAACTTTTTTGCATATAGTAGGGGTGTAACGATTTTCGAACCGAACCGAACCGATTCGAACTCACGATTCGAATCGTGATACTGACATTGCGTAACGAACACGCCCCGCCCCGCCCCCTGCTACCCCGGCCCCGCCCAGCCTGTATGTATATGCCTTATGTTCAGTTTACATGTTTTCATAAAATGTGGTGCGTGTTGATTATTATATCTAAAAAATAAATAGCATCTGAATTTAGGTTTAAAGTCTAGGCTACAATCTTTAATGTTTTAGTAATGTGCAGCTCCCTTTATAGTTTACAGCATTAGCAGATTTTATTTTAATCCTTGTGAAATGTTTAATTGTAATTGAATTAATTTAAAGACAAAGACCATTTTTTTCATTAAACCACTGTTTAAAAAAAAAAGCCATTTTAGCTTTCTAAACCGAACCGAACCGAACCGAGATGTCAAAAACGTGGGAAAACCGAACCGTCAGTTTTGTGCATCGTTACACCCCTAGCATATAGTATATGCAAGTATACAATTTGATACATTATAGTAATTTACAATCTTTGAACCATCCCTTTTCCTTTTTGTTCCTCCATAAAGGACTCTTTTAATTTTGGAGATTCGAGATAGTCAAACAAATGCTGAAAGCAAGTTAGAAATAAATATAACAGTTTAGAATATTATATTAATTTTATAAAGAAAATCATATGGGTTTGTAATGTATGTAAAAAATAATGTAATGTAAAATAATGTAAAATTTTGTGTGAACTAACTAACCCCCTATTATTAAATGCCAAACACAGAGTCATATAAGGAAAAAAAAACCATTTAAACACACTCACACATCCAAACATGAGTTGTTCAGGTGGTGTAAATATAAGGTGTGAAATCAATCGTCTCTAAGTGTTTACTCAGTGGGATCAATTTATTGAAACACTGAGTCCTGGTACTCTAATCTACCACCCTTATTAAAGCAAACACTTCATCAGACCTACACATGATTGGTCAAAAAAAGGCCATCCCAGTTAAGAGATGTGTAAAGTAAATCTTTCTCATGGGCTTTTTATTTGTTAGTTTGTTTGTTTGTTAGAGCAGACAGCAGGTGTTGGCATGTATTCATAAGACTATGGCACAAGACTCAGTACTTAAAGAGCTTGCTGTACAATCCCTAAAACAAAAACATGGAGGGTGCATATCAAAATCAGGCAGTTGATCTAACTCTAAAGTAATCCGTATAAGCATATGAGACAACACACTCTGACATCATGCATTATTGATCTGTGCACATATAGATATGGTTAATAGTTTCTGTTGAACCAGACTTTTACCATTTACCAACATCTGAAAATCTAAACCATTTCAAAAGATCAAAAATGTAGGGCATGACTTGAAATACCACATACTATTTCCACACACAAAACTACAGTATCAAACTTAATATCAATAGCAATACACATATACATACACAAAATGTATATATTAATACAACTGCACCAACTATAGACCATTTCACAAGATGTAAACAACACTGGTCCAGAAGCACTTCCTGTTTCAGTTTTTTAACACTACATAAAAGCTGGGATAAAATACAACCAACAGAACATTTAAAACTGAATCAAAAAAGTTAAACAAACATCTTTAAGATGTTTTCTTTACATGTGAAATAAAGAAAACCGTTACAAACTGAAACAGGAAGTGCTTCTGGACCAGTGTTGTTTACATCTTGTGAAATGGTCTATAGCGACTTCATTTTCCTTGTCCAAATGGCGAAGAGCGAAACGCAAATGAAGACGAGATGGCAGGTTCATAGGTGATATCTGAAGCATCGCAGTTTTTCTAATGCTAATGATAACATTTGTAGTAATTATGACAGTTTTGTGTTGATGACAACATTACAACATCCTTTACAATAATGAAATGCCTGCACTAGAAAGGGGGAAAAAAAATCTAATAACGCAGAAGTGAAACGCCAGACACTCGGCGGAAACATATTTCCTTCAAACTGAACTCATTCCCCTTTAAATGGTATTCATATATTCATAGAAACGTCTAGTTTTCTCAGCGCCATCTCTTGATCTTGCCATCTTTGAAGCCTTTAGATGAAATGAGCTCTTGCCCACAGTGCTGTCAAACATTACCGTGTTTCATTACAACTAATAGAGGCATATTAGGGCTGCAACAGATCAGATCCAGAACTAAATGGTACCCTGGAAAATCATAAATAGGCAGTCTATGACCGGAATGTTGATGATGCTCATAAGTTAAACAAACAGTATGCATATTTCATCTCTAATGTATATAGTGCACGTATGGCTAGGAAACAGAAATGTACTTCCTGAGGTCAATACTAATTAGTGGTGCTTGCCAAGTGCCCTGTTACTTTTCAAAGCGATCAAACTTTCGATTTTTCATCTAATGGATGATGATATGGCCAAAATATTTCATTCTCTGATGTTGAAAGAGGGGTCGTCATCATTTACAGTTTTTTTGAATTGCTAAAGCGCTAAACCCCATTCACTGAACCCAATTCTCAAGAATAAATCACTCTTTCTCAAGTCAACTCATTGAACAAGTTCAGGTATAGTTAAAATACTGTCATGCAAACTCTAAACACATTCTCACTCACTGAACACATTGTGATGCACTTATGTTTAATGGGTCATTCCACCTCTGGAAAGATGAATGTGTATTTAAAATGGGTAATTTATTTACACTTATTCATCGTCTGGTGTCGTTTAAAGCCCTTTGAAGCTGCACTGAAACTCTCATTTGCACCTTGAACCGTTTGGTTCCTATTGAAGTCCATTATATGGAGAAAATCCTGGAATGTTTTCATCAAAAACCTTAATTTCTTTTCGAATGAAGAAAGAAAGACGTGGACAACTTGGATGACTGGTTGTGAGTTAATTATCAGCAAACGTTTTTTTTAAAAGTGAACTACTCCTTTAAGCATAAACCAATCGACACAGCTACATTTCTGCCCTTTAACCTGATTTCACATACAAACACATTAACCTGTTCTGTCAGCTTCTTGAAGTGCGCATGTGTTACATGTGACAGGAAAGTGTCCTCCTTACAGCAGATTTTAGCGCTTCCAGACGTTTCGCAGTAAAGGTATATCGCAAACTCTAAAAAAATCTCAAAAAATTGTAAAAATCTCATGCAGCCGAAGTAAAAGTGGTCCAGTCAACATACTCCATCTTTAAATGCATGAGAGAGGATGATATTGGATAATATATGAGTCTCGTTTACACGTTGGAACACTATTTTGTTTTTAATGCTTCACAACTGACATAACAAATTGAATACTCAGTCAGATACACGAATGATTATATTTTGACGTCAAAAGAGCTGATAATGCAAACAGTAAGCCTCACCTATTGTAATGTTAATACACAGCTTATTTGCATTCTTACTCGTTTTGTTTTAGTGGAACAGCTTTGCATTTGTAATGCACCAATCATGCCAATGTCATTTGTACAATATTTACTGCAAACAATATCATGTGCATGCATGAACAATCAGCGTTGGCAAATATGACTAATTTCATGCGTTCCTCAAAGACCTTACCGTTTCAACACACTGCCCAGGATTCAATTCTCCTTAATTAGTTTGACATCTGTGGTCTGGCTTTTGCCACAACTAATTAAAGATTAAGCTTCTGTTCTGACACTATAATTTAAAATGCATGATTACATAGTGTCCTACATTGTACTTCTGAAACTTC